TTAACATCAGTAAACAGCGGCCCAGTGTATATTCCCATTTGTTGTGACTTGCTTATCCAGATCCTGTATATATTCCAGGAACACAGTTACTAAATTTAAAGCTGCAAACAGATTTGTTCTCTCAGCACACTTGTAAGAAACATTTAATTTTACATTGCCAATTTTCAAATATTTCTGTACACTCTGGCTAGGTAAAACAGTAAAGAATTGGTGTAACTCAGTGATGAATTAATGGCTCGCTCACTAGTGCAAGCTCTTATTTTCCTCTTTAGTAGCTATTGGGCAAGACATTTTGGAAGAGTTTAATCAAAATCCTCATCAAAAGCCAAATGAGTGGATTTTAAAGAAAGTTTAATTACAGTGGTCAAACCACCCAGCATGATTTGCTTGATTTGATTAACGTAATGAGGAGCGCCTTTAATGAGAAATGCATTAATTCATTCAAACAAGTGGTTTTATCAGAGGTATTAAGCATCAGCCCAGATTATGTACAGCAGAAACTATTACAGCAAAAATTGACTGAGGTCAAAGCAGTAGCCATGCCATAATTACAAGTTCTTGGCTGTAATCTACCAGTTGAACTTGGGCAGTGCTCATCATGACTGAAAAAGCAGGGTCCTCATTTTAAAAAGCCCCCAAATCACAGGGTTTTGCTTCCATTCCACAGCTGGGATCTCCATCCCTTTCTTTCACATGTTCAGAAGATTCAGGAACTGGGATTGAACTCTCTGAGTTTCAAATGGTTATACATGCAGACACTATCAGGAAATGATTGAGCAAGAGCTCAAAGGACACCTGATACCACCCCCAGCCCTTAAAGGAAACAGAGTGTTCCCCGTTTGCTCTCTGTTCTACCTCCCTCCTGTCCCTGTGATGTCTTTGGGACACTCCTGTTCCTAATCTGGAATAGAGTGACTTTGGGTGAGAATTATTATTTTCCTTCTGGGAAAGGAAACCTCCTTCTTGGAAAAGAAGAAAAATCTGCCTCTGCAGGAGGGAAATATTTGAGGAAAAAAAGAAGAAAGAGCCTCCTTTGCACCTTGCTCTCTTAAACTGCCTTCTTTAGAGAAATTTCAGCCCCTATATTCCAACTTTCCTGTTTCAGGACCCCTGCCCACAGGCTTTACAAGGCACCCTTCACCTCCACCCTCCCCACTGGGACCCCTTCTCTGGTGCCCACTGCTATATCTCCTGGCAGCTGCTAATGTTCTTCTCTCTCCTGTGCTGCCCTGACCACTGTCACCTTTTTGACTTCTGCCGTGCTCTCTTGCCTCTATTCAGTCTCTGACTTGTCATTCCTGTAGTGTCTGTGCAACCCCTGTGCGAGCTGCCTTCCCTGCTGCTTTGTGCTGCGCCCGTATAGCACTGAAACAGCTTTGATTTTCAAGTGCTCCTACTTCTGAGCCTGCTTGGCTGCCAGAGCACTTTTTGAGCACTGCTGCACAGTGGACTTAAGCACTATCTATTGCTTAGTCTTTCATCAGCTACCACTAGCACAGCTGGCAAAGGAGGGCAGCTTTGAAACTGCTCCCTGAGCAGGCAGGAGGCTAGTCAAGGAGCTAAAAAGCAGAGCCCAAGCCCCGGTGCAGATAGGATGCTTTGGGGTTAGGTGCAGACCGACAAGTGAAGACTGTTTTGTGGAAGTCGTATTTTACCTCCTGATAAGGTCAGCAGGTAGGTAAGACACTATTATTAGGTTGCCTAATAAATGTAGGCGCCAAGGTTCACTTGCAGGTTTGGAAGTCCTGATCAAGACCTTCAGGAAATAAACTGCAGTAGAGAACTAGAGATGTCAAAAAATAGATCTAAGGCTTTATTTGCTACATTAATAGAAGATGAGGAGGAAAATTATTCCTGCTGAGTTGAAAACCATAATCCTTGGAATTATTTCTGCCACTTGTCTTGAAACCACAAGGAAACAAGTAAACATTGGAATCAGTTTCTCCCTTTATTTTAGAGAAATCTTCACCACAAGGAAACAAGTAAACATTGGAATCAGAGTCCCTTTATTTTAGAGAAATCTTCGGAGGTGCTGACTGTTGCACACCAACATATTGGCATATAAACATTTGTACAGAGGAAAGCATTAACAGGGACTGTCTCACCAGTATATTCAGCAAGCCTGTTCCCAAGGTAAAGACAATTCCATCTTGGAATAAGCAACCCAAATAGCATATACAGACTCACAACAGCAGATGCCCCTTGCTGTTACCTTTGGCATCCCTGAATGGAATCCAGGTGAGAAATCATAAAACATAAATTGGTAGAAGATCATATCTTAAAATACTTTTTCTCACTATCTCCCAGCCTGGCCTTCAAGCAGGCAACCAACTTTGCTAAACTTATCATCTGAAGAAAATTTCCCGAGTACCAATAAAGATTACTATATCAGAATGACAAATGCAAAAATTTCAATTTATCTCCATAGCCCTCACAAGAAACATCTTCTACAACAGAACTGTGAAAACCAATGAATCCTTAGCATGTCCATCCCAGAAGGCAAACTACTTCTTCATACGTACCATATGCTCCCTGTACCGTAATGAACTCACACTGACAATCAGAATGAGGAAGAAAAATGTGGTTAATAACAAGAGAATGTTTCCCAAAACAGCCATTCTCCCTCTTATCATTTAGCTGTCATCCTCAAGGGAATTCTAGAAAAGAAACTGGAAAGATGAAACTGGGATTGAAATTAATAATTTGATGGGACACCAAAAAATGTTGATTCCAACAACAATGCTAATTTTATGGCACATCACAATTTACCTCAGATACGACTTGCTAATCTTAGTTTCTCAGGAGATAATTACCTGTGCATTTCTTCCGTTCTGTGTTCAGTAGAGCTGAAGACCTTATTACCGCTCCTCTTACTAACATCCCCTCTGTTCTTTTCATCTCAAAGTACCTGACTGATTAATATAATGAAACTGAACTCAGATAAATTGCTTCCGATCTTTGCTTATCTGGCAGTTTGTTAGTTACGTCCCTGCTTCTGTTTTTTGCCCCTCAGACTTGTCTGTTTTTTCCTAACAGGTATACTGATAAGAGATATTGCTTCTCTCCACAGATATTCCTTCTGAGTGTTATGAATGTTATGAATGTTCCCTGTTTACCAAAAACCTGCCCAACCAGCCTCTACCTTTGAAATATCAAGTGTCGTTCCAGATATGGCTCCAGTTCTGACTCAAAGATTCCTTTTTGAATAGTTATGAATGTCTTTAGTCTGGCATTAACTAAGCTCTCAGCTGCTTCAAAGAAATAGTTGGCTTTATGCAAAGAATAGGAACACAACTTCACTGGCCAAACATCAGTCACTACTTCTGAAAGGAAAGGAAGCATCATTAAATCAGATCTTTCTAAAATGAAGGTGAAATATGACATTCAGGAATATATTGTTCAAGACAGGACTGTTATGCACCACCCAATCCAGTCAGAGATGAAAATTTTTATTGTCACTTCTCTCTGATACTTCCCAGGTACTGAATTAGTCTTTGGCAATGCTCATTGCAATGATGTGGTATATTATTTGCTTTTCCCCTTCATCCATGGAGCTCAAAAACCCAATAACTTTACTTCCCTGCATCCAAATTCAGTAACTTAAAGCTGTAAGAGCTTGGGAAAGGTTAAACAGTATCTTAGGAAGGGACTTGATATAATTTTGCCTAAGAAATTTCAGTGTGCAGTTCCACAGGAATTAAAATACATGGACCTAAAGAATAGCATGATATGTTTTAGGAAGTATTAACTATGCCAGTACACAAAGCTCTGAGGTAACATGCACATTTACCACCTTCTGCCAAATAACATACACTTCCTTGGGCTTGCACAAGTAGCACGTATTGTTCTGCTCACACAGCATGCAGTCCTTGATGTACACTTGGAAATTATCCTTTGCAAACAAGTACTGAAATTTGACATCCAGGGCAGAAGTTCTACACCCTTCTCTCACCGAAAGGCACTCAGAGAAAATTCAAGACAGGATTCAGTTTTGAAACTTGTATTCCTCATCTTGTGAACCTAGGGGTTATCTGTGACCCTGACCACATGTAAGACCTGCAACCTCAGCATTACCATGTATAAAGTAAATGTTTACCCCCTATGTGCCTGTCACCACAGAAAAGCTTGGGGAATGTATGGGAAAAGATTTTTTTGCAGGTCCAAAGGAAAAGCAAGTCCCCACATCTCTTCCTCCTACTCAGATACAAAGCAGGAGCTTGCTTCCAGCAGGCAGTTTGTATCAGTGGGCTCTGCTAGGCAGTATGGAGATAACTCTCAGCATTGATAAATGGGAACTGCTAACATAATGTAAACATTTGGTGAAAGCAAAATATTTGCCAAGAACCTAAAAGGCTGGGTACTTAAAGCAGCTCTCCATGCTGGCTTTCCTTAGCAAGGTGCACAAGGGACAGGCACTCAGCTGTCAGTCCCACTGCTGGCTCCTATGTGATTGAACCTCCAGTGCATTGTACCTATATCCCGACGAGACATATTTAATTCCCTTCTTCTCATTTGGCTGTGCCACTGCAAGGAAAGTTTCTGTAGGAAACTGAGAAGTTTCTGGGGCAGTAAACCAGCTCCTGCCCCCCTGAGGCTAGTACCACCAGTATCATCACCACCATCAGCTTCTTCCGCATAGTGAGGTAGATGGCTTCTGACTTGGCCATCCAGTTTTGATGACCAAGTGCCTGCTAAAACACCTTTCTGCACCAGGTTTGGCACATCCAGGTGCCAAACATTGGAAGAAACACACACATTCAGCCCATTAGTGGCTCAACCTCGTTTCCCGCCCACAAGTGAGTAATGCAAGAGCAGCACCAGGGATGGTGGGGGAGAGAGGATTGAGTGTGAAAACAATGTGAGATGAGGATGCCCGAGCTGGCAGGTGATGAAAACCAGCTTCCACCCTCCTGGGTAGCCACAGGGTCCCTCCTTCCCAGCCCCATGGGAGGGAGAGACAGCGGGAACACAAGGTGCAGCAATGGCGAGGTGGTCCTTACCTTCTCGTTCTTCCTCTCCTCGGGCTTGCCAGCAGGGCCAGGGGTGACAGGGCCACCCAGAGGCCCACTACCGGCCTCGCCGTTGAGGTGGGCAGCGCTAACGTTGGGTGGGGTGATGGCGGCGGCGGCAGAGGTGAGGGGGATGAGGGGCCGGGCCCCTGGGGTGGGCGGCTGGTGGCCATGCTGCGGGGAGATGGCGGGGTGAGGCCGGATGGCTGCCGCTGGCAGGCGGGAGGGCGAGCTGGGCGTCCGCAGGGGTGAGACCGTGGCAGTGGGCCGCTCCGGGGCTGGCACTGAGGGGTGAGCTGTGGAGAGAGGACAGAGCATGGTTAAGCCCCCCATGAACTGCCGTACCTCTCTCTTTAGTGGCCATCACTGCCATGAGGCGCCGGCGCCCAACAGAGATCTGAGCTCTTAGCCTTAACTAAGGGTATCTCAGTATGCAAGTGGTTTTGTCTAAATCCTAGAAATCCCCCTTATTGGGTGTGAAAGACGTGTCTGCAGTCACCAAAATGGCCAGTCCTCCCTAGTGATGTGACTGGGGAATGGACTGATCATACCTGCCCATGCCTGGAAATAAATAGCAAGCCTACTCTGTTTTCAAAATACCTTCTCTCGTTCCAGCAGAGCTGTTTTCCGAACGTCCAGGAACCTCTTCTAACCTGACAGGCTTTTGAGCAATGCAACGTGGGACCTAAAGGGTTAGCTTAGATGATCCACACCAACCTCACAGACAGCAATTACATTGGGAGGTCTCTTGTTTCAGCTCTAAGAAAATGATCAACAGCACATCACTGTGCTGCAAAAGATAAATTAAGCAGAAATCCACTGGAGGATTTCTGAGCTCAGCCTCATCTCTGCCAGAAAAGTCCCGAAGGGACTAGGCAGTGCCTTTTAGTCTTGGTGCCCCTGCTGAGCAAACCCTGCCTACAAGCACTAGGAACCAGGAATTAGCACTCATCTGTTTAATGGTGACCATGACACACTGTCGAGGTCAGCTCTCCAGGGATTCGGGAGCTTGTTGCATGCTTCATGTTGCAAAAAATACTACAAAGCTCCAGGTCTATTTCCACAATGATGTTGCCTTTGATTTCCAGGCTGGTTAATTGCTTAGGTGTAACACTCCTACAAGTATGTACAGACCAGAGGCCAAGTCCACACTCAGACATCCCCTCATCAAAATGATTCAATAGTAGGACTGGCTGGAAAAATTCCCGTTTCACAAATGATTTCAAGGTATCACAGTCTGGTTTAGATCTGCCTCAGTGCAAACTTTGAACCTGTGAACATTTTTCTGCATACAACCTACTCACCTACACCACAAGAGTCTCTATTCTGGTCAGGTCATTCACCTGGGATATGAAAACATCGGATCTGGTCACTGTGCTGTTCTCCTCTGTGGAGAACAGGTCTGGGCAGCTGTGTATTCCCTTTGCAACCTGGGCCAGGACAGTTTCATGGCTGAAGTCTGGTTCAACTACATCCTTTCCTTTTTGTTAAAAGCTTTGAGTCTAACAAATCAGCTTTTCTTTGACCAAGAAGCATTTTTTGGGAAGAGTTCTGACCTGCTCTGATCTGTGGTTTTCTTACAAATTCACTTGAAGGATACATTTTTATGCAGGACCAGCTGGAGTTCACTCAATCTATAACTAAACAAACAACAATGCTAGAACTCAAACTACTATTTTCTGTTTCTATGGTTAAGTGACACCCATCACCAGAGATCGAAATGATAAAGAATGACATTAATCATACTTGCTACACCAGCTGAGCACTCCTGCTAGGAGGGAATTTCATCCCCCAGCCTCATGTCCTATTATCCGAAGTGATACTGAACGCGATGGGCCAGCCAGCGACCATCAGATTAGCACCTCCAAAATTCACATCATTCTCCCTCATGGTAACTCCTTGACTCTATAACATCTCTTTTTATTAATGTTGCTCATAGCAAATCAACCCAACTATCATTAACCAGTCTTGAACTTGGTGTGATTTTACCATGTAGCATGAGGAAGCACCTAAAAGTTGCTATTACAGACACCTTTAAGACTATTCTTACTGTTACTTATCATTTGCCCCTCCCTGGATTACCAAAAACATATACTGGAAAGTGCAATTCCTTTCCAGAGAGCCAGACAGGGCACCACTGGTTATCCTGAAATGATTCACTCCTTCTGATTGTCCTGTTTGGAACCTACATGATGAGCAACCACTGCTGCCAGAAATCTCATTTTCCAGGACGGTTAAGCTTGCAGGGTCAAGGTTTTGAACTACTGGTTGTAGGGAGCAATGGTTTTCCTAAATCTAGAGAAAAAAGCACAATAATGGAATTTCACTGCATGTACCTGGATGCAGAAGACTGATTTGATAATCATACTAGGTACATTACTTCTTTCATACAGGGCTTGGAGTTTCCAGATACAAGGGAAACAGAAAACATGAGAACCAGTAAAGCAAATGGCCTGAGAAAAATAAACTCTGAGCAGAGCTCTCACATTTTATTCTGTAATTTCATCTGCTTACTGTTACAAAGTATGCCTTTGCTCTGGGATCTGTGGATCTGGACTGTGCTGCATCAAACATGCTATTAATTAGCAATGCTCACTGAAGGCTATTTTTGTTCTACACCACTCATATTTCATTTTGGGTGTATTCCTACATTAGTGGCCTTGTGCAAAATTGATTTGTTACTCATGTATATTGCAAGCCAACAGAAACGTGATTTGAATACCGTGCCAGCTTGCCTCTCTTGCAAAGCTTTTCCAAAAGTCAGTGTGCATTGCCCTGTCCTGCAGGACTAAAGAGACCTTTTGAGGGGCTCTGGTCCACAGGAGACTGGTGAGGACATCCATTATGGAGAAAAATATCGAAATACGGATAATCATGAAAAATTTCCTTTATTTATCCTGGCAAAGGTTTATTTAATTAAAACAACAGTCTCATGAACCTTTTGGAAGAACTGGAGAAGTCCCCACTTAGGAGGTTTTGGAGCAGCTCTGTGGTCCCTGGATCACCCTTGCCTGCCAACTCCCTGGGACTTTAAGATGTCAGGGTGACCGGGAGGAGCAATCTTAAACCAGGGAAGGTGCTGGAGGTAGCACAGCAGCACTGTAGAAGGAAGATGTGGGGCATGCCAGGTGTATGGGGCAAAATGATCTGTCACCTGGGTTTCAGGGGACTCCATCTGGCTGGTGGCATGGGCACAGGAGGCACCAGGAGCAGCTGAACGTTTCCTGAGAGCCTTGCCCAAGAGGGGACATTTCTGCCTTTGTACTGCGGGAGCAGAAGGCCTTTAGAAGGGTGTGACCTGAGGGTAAAGCAGCACTTTCTGAACTACACAAAAAGAGGGTAAACCAATTAGTCCCCAGTGTGACATAGGTGCCTTATAACCTCCTGCCACTGTTTGTTGAGCAGAGGAGTCTGCACTGTTCAATATTCAGATTCACACTTATTTGATTACGTTTCCTGCCTTTGGTCTGGACTGTGGTAGGAGGTGAGATTAGATGGTCATAACGGTGCCTTCTGGCTTCTAAAGGTATGAATCCATGACTTAGACCACAGTGTATTTCTCATTTGTGCCTGCTCTGTTTTGTATCTAAAACCTCAGTTTTCAGCTGTCACAACCCTTACTGATCTGCCTTTGTAAACACAATGGCTCACATCCCTATAAAATATCAGAAACAAAATGTTTTAAATTTTGCTATGAAGTTCCACCACAGGATTTACTTTTACTTTATTCAACATTGGAGCTGTTTAACATCAGGGAAAGGGGAATAAATTGTACTCCAGAAAATTGTGCTGTACATCAGAAAGGGAACCTAGAAAGAACAGAGGCCCCCTGGTGTGAGTAGCTCTCATTCTTATTTCAAAAAGGTGGCAGTATTTTTCAGATCTTTTGCTTTATCACTAACACCAGGTCCCATTCTGCCTAATAAATACCTTTCATCCCTGAAGCCCAGTGAAATGCTTCTTAATTTTAAGTCGTGTGTTACTCGCCCTGCGATAAGGGCAGTATTTTTCCATCAGCAAGCCGACCGGACTCAGAACTGTTAATCTCCTCAGTATGCAGGGTGCTTGCTTTCACTCAGATAAATTGTATAAATATTTGTAAACACTATAATCTATTTCAGCTGTAGCAACAGAACAATCTGATAAACACAACGTGGTTCCCAGAGATCAATAGAAGCCCATAAATATTACAAGCAAATAAAACATACTCTATTCCACGCTGACTGAGCTGTGACTAAAACGCGAGAGCGAGCTGCGGGGTTGGAAAGGCTTGTGCCCGAGGGGTGTGACATCAATCCCACCGAGGCGGGACGAGAGGCACCCGTGGGCGCGCACACACGTACCCATCTGCATGGCGTTGCGGGTCTGGCTGGCTGGCTGCTGAGCAGAATACCTCAAGCAGTTATTCAGCTGGGGAGAGGCCACCTGTAGCTGGGGATGCGTCTGAGGAGCGGTGATAGGAACCACCGGTCTGACAGCTGTGGCGGCGTTGGTGTGACCAGCCCCCATGGGGTGGATGGTTCCTGGGGCTCCTTTTGTCGTCGGAGCTCCTCCAGCTCCGCTGTTTCTGGGCTGCCCAGCTCCCACCGGCACCCTGCATGGAGACAAGGCACAGTTTAAGCACGTTGCAGAGACGCTGATACACAGCCACAACGCTGATAAGCACCCCCAGTTACTTAGGGGGTTCAACGTGATACACTCTCAGGTGTTAAAATAAACCAAGATACAGATGCATATTTATCTTTATAGGACACAGTCGTAAGCACGCTGGAGGATATTTTCACCCCTTTATCCTAAGGGAAGAAATACAGGGTAAAAATGGAAAAGATAAATTTTCTCATCACTTTTTTTCTTAAGCTACGTTTCTGTCTGAATAGTTCCTAGTAAAATCACAAATCTAAATTCAGAAAAAAATGGATATCTCCCAAATGTAATTTTGTGTGCCAGAGGCTATTTTACAGGCACTAATGGAGTGATAATTAAAACAGACTCAGAGATCTTTTCTTAGGAGCAAACCTGCATACAGCCCCACAGGGAGAGAAAAAAAGGATGGATAACGCCAGATCTGTGTGTGGCTGTTGAAGGGGACTGAAAAGCAGAAGACTTGACAGGGCTTGGCAGGGCTGAACGCTTACCCTCCTGATGTAACCAGCCCTAGCTTAGACTTGCTAAGGAAATGCAAAAGGGAAGGGAATGCAGCTGACCTTACCGAAAAGAAAATCCGGACAATAATCCAGCCCTCTTTCACTGCTCACTCAAACTGTATGAATAGGTTTTATTTCATCTGAGTGGCTGGGTAGACCTCAGAGGGAAGGAACAAGGCTCTTTCTTCTATGCAGTGAGTTCAGCAGGGCTCTGCTCTTACCACTGAGCTAGACACTCTATGACTAGGACAAGAGTTCACTGGAGAGGACAGAAGGACACTAATGGACAACATCGACTGCTGCTCAGCAGCTTTTTCTCTGAGTTTCTTACTCAGTTTCTGAATAATTTTCTATCCCAGCAGTAGATGCCATGAAACAGAGGGTCCATTTTGTGCTGTTCTCCTGTCTCGGGCTGCTCCATGTGCCAAGGTCCTCCTCCAGGAAAGGACAGTGGAAGGGATATGATGCAGAACAAAGTATAGTAGAAGCCAGAGAAATTAGACAGTGCAGGGGGTTAATAAGGAAGGAGAGGGTAACAAAAAGGGTGCAAGGCCAACCTATGGGGGGTGGGATTGCAAGAACTTCTGGAGCTCCGAAATTGTTGTGTGAGAACACAGAGACCTGAAGAACAGAAAGAAGGAGCATGCTGAACAATTTGGAGCAATTCACAGGACAAGAAAGACAGAAGAAGCAACCCTAGGAGTGCAAAGGGGAAGAGCCAAAAGAGTGAAATTCTGATAGAAAGAGACCAAAACACAGGCTGGAAGATATGGTCCAAAAGTGCAAAAGACAGTGAGCACCTCTGCCCAGTCCCCACTCCCTTGAAAATCACAGGAGGAAAAACAACACTGTAGCGTCATAAAATCCTTGACTCATACCGTTGTGCAAGGTTTGCCTGGACTACATTTTGCTAAATGAACCTGATTTTTTTTTTTTTTCATTTTTTTTTCATCAGCCTCCAGGTAGGGAAAAGCTGGGAATCCCACCAGATGGAAATCTTGACTGTCTGTCATCTGCTGTGAAGAGCTGGCAGGGTAGCAGCAAGGTTCAGCTGGAGCTGGCTTGGCCATCTGCACTAGATGGAGTTTGCCAGAAAAGCACACCTAATAGTCCACGGAAAGCTGCGTTCAGGCAAACATGCACACCTCTAGGTACAGAAACTGTGACTCCCACAGAGCTGGATAGATGTTGGATACAGCAAATTTTCTCCGCTGCCCTGTGTGTCTCTGTCCATCTAAAGGGTCTTGTCCTTTTTTCCACCATGCTCTGCTCACACATAGGCTTTGGCAGCTCATAAACCAGTTCAGTGTTATTAAATTCACAGGCAACTTCTTTTTCTTGGGTTTTGTAGGGAGTGGCAGAAAAACATAGATGAATCTATTTTTCTGCTTTGCTCTCAAAGAGGAGGAAAGTAGAAAGTGCAGCAAATGGGAGATTTTGTTGCTATCAGATTTTTCTTGCTGTTCTCACTGAGGGTGATTTACAGAGGAACTTGATTAGCTCACAGGATCATAAATATAATCATAAAGCTGCTTTTGGGTTTTGTGGAAAGCACTTTTGCCCTTTAGCACTTCTCTCTGTCTTGTTCTAGCTGTGACATGCTGCATTTAATAAAGTCTTGCTGATTCAGATCACCAACACTTCAGCACAAACTTCTTTACTAATTAAGAGCTGAAGAGGCAAGCAGTGAAGGCAGCCAACAGGCTCTATAAAATCAGGTAAATACATTTAGGTTGATGAACAGTGAAGACCCCAGGAACTAATGTTGTGTTTTGTGGTTTTTTTACCAAAATGCAATATTAGGATCGTTAGCAGGTTTAGTTATCATCTTCTAATCTGGTCTTAACTTTTGGTCTTGCTCAGTCCACATATTACAAATTTGACGTAAACTGAAGATGGAACAAACCTGGATCAATTTTTCAAGATCAACACTGTCTGAATTGTGAGGTGCCTTTCTCTGGAGAGGAGGGAAAGTTGGTGGAGTCTGTGGGCATGTGGGAGGAGAGACTGAGAGCATATGAGGAAGAGCGAGTTCGATTTGCAAACCCATGGTTGCTCTAAAGGACATATGGACATACACGTGGCAACATTGACCTGCAAGGAGCGTGTGGGCAAAACAGCCTAGGACACACTGATGAACTTTCTCCTTGGCTTGCAGACTATTTCAGAGTGGTCTCTAGATCAGAAACACCCTTTGATTTGGTGGTGTCCAATACCAAACTCTGACAAATGGCATTCCTCCCCAAACATGCTATTCTTTCCTTTTTGCTCTTACGCAACTGAAACAAAGGAACCTAAAATCAGACAATTTACTGAACTCTTCTACCACTTCTGAATTTTAACAATTCAAACATTAGTCTTGATCCAAATGATCCAAGACCTTTGACTTAAAAAGACAAACTCTACACGAGGAGCTACTGAAAAGCAAGACACAAGCATTCCTTATTTTGTTTATCTATGTTACAAATCCAGTAATTTTAAAACAATAAAAAAATCACTAGTCAACAGATTTTTTATAATGGTAAAACCTGGGCTTATCAGATCGTGTAAAGTCAGATCTGTAAATGCCATCATCTAACACAACTAGTGAATTTTTCTGAGAACACGGATAACTCCAATGCTACAACCAGCAAGTTTCATTACTTAAGCATGCACTGCCTCCAGAAATTTTTTTGGAAGGGGAATGTAATTTAAAAGCAGAGCTATGTTGTTTTCAGCATCCTCTAGATTCAGAACCCGTCTCAGCCCCAGCTCAGGCATATCCAACCTGGCCAATGGTCCTCACCTTGAAACAGGCGTCACGTAGTTGCCTGGGAAGACGCCAGACATCCCACTTCTCAGAGATGTCCCCTTGAACCAGCCATCCTGGCACTTCTCAATGACCCGGTACATCTCACCTTTGCGGAGCTCCAGCTCGTCGTTCTTCTGAGGCTTGTAGGCGTACAGGGCTAGGTAGCTGTGGGGAGAGGTCACACAAAAAGAAAGCACACAGCTGACACCAGCCACCACCTGTCCCGCTTCAACTCCAGCCCCACAAAGCAGAAGGTGAGTAGAAACGCTGCTCAGAAACGGTGGCTAAAAAGGGACATCATTGCAGCATGTCAAAGAAGGAACGGCAGACACAAGATCAACTGGATGCTAAAACAATAAGGGAATAACTAATGAGAATAAAGGGAGGGGGTAATTTAGAACTCATAGGATACTCTTCTCACTCAGGGCACAACCAAAGCAAAACACTGCCATAAAGCAACGCTGAAGTTAAGGACTTAGCAGCAGTTTCAGAAGTACAAGGCAATTACAGAGACAGACAGAGTAACCAGGACTCGAGTAGGAAGGCTTTGCTAAGCCTAACATTGTAAGCTTCAGGGCGGGAGGCACCTCTACTGTGGATTTTTAGAGGAAACTTTTTTTATGGGTAGGCCACTTCAAAGGATTTAAGGCAGCTTTTCTTGCAGCTTTCTTGATGCTATTTATGCTGGCCAGTTTTAGAAACAGGATACCAAACAGCTATGATCTGCTATGGTAGTTCTTGTATTATTTGCGTAAACCAAAAAGTGAAAGAGGGCCAAATTCTGCAAGGGGATTTTTACTTAAGCAAGTGGTAGAATTTTGCTCTGGATGTTTTGCAGGCAAGTATTCAAATAAATCTTTAATAGAAGACCCAATATGCAGAACTTTTTATTTATTTAATTACAGCTTTTATTTATTCTCTTTGTTTAGAATCTTTCTTTTTATCTCACTTTTGTTCTTCTGTTACTACTTCAGGGATGTGTCTAATGTTGTGAAATGACTGCAACTTAAAGTCCCTGAAGATATTCCCTCTATTTAGAGAGATCCTTGCTGAAAATTAAGAATGATTGCTTGCACTTTGGGGAATAATGGAAAGTCGGGATAGGATAGCAAGAGTGCACACGCAGAGCAACACTTTCCTTGTAAATACCAATATTTTTTTTGGTACTGTAGCCTTTCTACAAATGCAGAAAAGGATTTCTGGTAATTCTTGATCAAGGTTGTGCCTTCTTGAGTGTTTTTTTATTCGTGCTTTACAGGCAGTGCAGAGAGATTAGGACAAATGGGGAAACACTTACAGAAAGTACATTTACACTACAAAGTGCAGCAGAATGCTCTTAGGCTCAGGGGTGGGTGAGAAGAGACTTGCTGCCCACCTTATAGCAGCAAACCAGAGAAATAATGAAAACTATAACCATTGTGATTGTAGACTTGCAGCCAATAAAAATGATACATAGCTTTTTACTTCTGCTCTCCAGGAAATATAATTGAGGAATAAATCCTGTTAGTTTTCCTGATTCTACTCCTTTATGGTACCAGTAGATCTCCGTATTTTTATTCTGAAGGCAGTAAATAAACAGCAGTAATGAGCAGAATATGAAATATTTGGTAACAGCTCCTTGGGGCGTGCTTAGGCTGATGTGCCTGGTTCTGTTTAGCACGTGCACGGGGTACAAAGACCTAATCAGAAACTGTATTTCATTAGCCAACAGATGGGAGGAACCATCCTGCACATCTTTTGTTTAGTCTATATAATCAGGTGGTCTTGAGCAGGTCTGTAGCTGTTCACCTGATGGAAAACATGAGGCTACATATGAAGTGAAGAACATTAAAATGCATCACCCTGACATGAAATAAGATTGCATGCTTCAGTGCTAATCCTTCAGCACTGTGCTCTGCTAGGACATAAGGGGAAGTGCCAGACTGCACTCACTCGAGGGAGCAGAAAGTGTGGCTTTGACTACCCCTTTTTAAGTTGCTGCTTACACAGGGCTTATATTCAGAAGGTATGAGTAAAGCAGGAGGTCAAGGACAGAGCATTTTAGATAGACTTACTTAGCCCTTTCCCCAAGGGCCTACATGTAATAATGTAATTTACAGGTTGAGATGCTGGGAGAAGGTGCAAGGAAAATTACCCTAAGTGGATCATAGGCTGCTTTCCCTTGCAGCTATCTCCAGGTCTCCTGCCAGGTTCTTTCTGTTCCTCCCTGCAAACTCAGCCTCCAGTAAGCCTGAATATCCAGTATCACAATGAGCCTCAACATGCTCTGTAGAGAGTATCAAAATCCTTGCAGAGCCCAAAAGAAGGCGTACACCAGCCCAGCCTGGACTCTATGCCAAAACTGACCAATCTCTGTATGGCTAAACTGATGAAAATTTGTGTGTGATAACCATATAGCGTGACCTTGGGACAACGAAGGGCATCAGCACCTTCTTCATGGACCGGCCATCCCACCACCTATGTGGGGCAGTGAGGATGCCTGTCCCAGGGGATTTCCACTATTAGTCTGCAAGGAGTCAGGGGCTTCTCCAAATCCAGTGACAGGCCCAGCCTGGGTCCACTGCCTGGCTGTGGATGGTGTGCCAGCCCTAAGGGGACAGGCGTACGCCCCGTGTGTTGGCAGATAGGGTGCTGTGGGAGAGCTGGTTGGACGCCTGCTCTCATACATGGCTGAAAACAATTTGAGTGCAGGCAGCTTCCCTCCCCAGAATGGGTTTCTGGACTTTTTCTCTGGTAGTGAATCAGGTCTAGTGGTCCTGTTTGCTGAGGCTGATTTTGTCTTAAGCCAAAGCCTTTGGACTTGGACACATTTCACCACTCTCTAGATTTCAAGTGTAAAACCAGCAAACTCTACAACTGAGAAGAAAGTGTTAAAACAACTATCTGAAATCTTGCAAAATGTGATAGCAAGTTATTCTGGGCTATGTGAAACAGTGATGCGAAGGACTAGAGAGCAGGACCTAGAAGAAGCCAAAATGTTTATTAAAAGTTCCCTAAAAAAACAGGCCTAAGCAAGAAGGTAGCTCATGTTCTGGGCCTCAGGGAGCTGCCTGTGACTATAATTGCAATGCAGAAGCCCCAGGGCTCTGTTGAGGGTTCTACCTCCCCAGTTCTGCTACAGCTTTCAGATAAAGCTTCCCTTTTGACTGGAACTTGGCTTGCAAAAGCAAAATGACAGACCAGATTACGAGGCTGCTTCACAAGGGAGATGACAGGAGAAGCATGGGAGGAGAGGCTCGCTGCAGCACAGATACAGGGGCATTGCCAGAGAGCTGGAAAATGTCCTGATTCAGCAACTAAATACTGAAAATTCTGCCAGTTACTGATTCCCTGGGCAATGTTTGAAATAAATTTGTGCCCCACTATGTGCCACACAGGCTGCACAGGGTGACCACAGGGTGATGATGAGACCTCTCTGTGGGGCAGTGAGTGATGTGCGGTATGGAGATCAGGTATGAAGGTCTCCTCTTAATAGCCAAGAACAAATCTGTTTTGGTTCTGTTCCAACTCCTCTGTACTCATTAAAGTGGATTGGCTATGTTATTTTGGGATTTTATTTGTTGTTTCAGACCTTGTTTTAGTCATATCATAAAACCTTAAAATACTGGTGGGCATATGTGTGTGTGTCTGTATAGCTCTACTGCTTTCACAAGGTATATATGATGAGAAGAAAGGGTTCAGTAGTTTAACTAGACAGGCACCAGGTAAACCACCCAGGCTAGAAGAGATTTATTATGATGAAGTCTACCCTTTTTGATCTGTATATCTAGTCAACCTTCTGTTATTCTACACACTATTCAATAAGCCCATATGCCCATGATATGAAGTTCATTTGTTGCATTTGTTTATGGTGCTGAAAAGATGCAATTGGGTCATTTTTTTCTGGTTAATGATGAATGTTTCAGGTGTTTGATTGCATGGGACTACACCAGGAGATTTTCTCTAGCTGAGAGGTATTCAATTTGCTTCACAGTGATTCATACAGCTGTAATAAATATACCAGGAATCTAAAAGGGCTCACAGAGGAAGGGGGAAGTCTTGATTTTCTCTCCTCATTTTTCAATTTCAGCAGAGGCTGGGTCATGTATGAAATTGCAATCTCTTTCTTCTCAGAATGCTCCTGAGCTGAGATTCAGGCTTTCAGATTTCAAAAACATGCACACATTCGCACACGACCGGAAGCAAAGAGTACAGAGGGACTGAGATGAGCTGCTTACATATTAAGGGGGAGCTGGACCTTCGGTGGTGTTCCCTGATCTCCAATTATTGCACTTGTCCTGGGACCAGCTACTGTGGCTGTTCCAATCGAAGAGGAATCCTGAAAATACACAAAGAACATATAAAAATTAGGATGAAGCCCATCATTTCCTAAAACCCTATGGTGTGAAGGCACAGAGGAAAAAAATCACATCTTTTATCAATTCCCAGACTTTCTAAGTTCATGATACTGTGTTAAAAAAGACATCTTTAAGCCTTACACATTCTAAAAATACACTTCTGACACAGGGGATATTAGGTTATTAACAGCTTTTCCATGTACCTGTCAGAGAAATTTAGTTGTACCTTGTATGCAGATCTTAAAAGTTTTAGAATGCAAAACTACCTGACTGCTTTGTAAAATAAGCTCAACATGTACATCTCTGCAATAGTACCTTCTTTGGTAAAGGTAACCTTTTCCCTTCAAATGCTTGTTTTAAAAATTGTACTCTTTAGGTTAATGGTTATGGATCTATGGAGAAGAAGACACTATTCAATTTCTAAAATGCAGTCTCATCTCTATGCTATGTATGACAACACAACCCAAACCAGGAGTACCTCTGAATGGAGAAAGTAGGAGTCCACTCCCCTTTTACCACAGCAAATAAATCCCCATTCTCATATAGAGAACTGGGCAGACCTTTTCCATCTATTAATGTTGAAAGGCAGTTCTAAATGTAATCATTCGTTTTTCAAAGCTTAATGCTCAGCAAAAATATGTAGGGCAAACACTTTTTTTTTTGAGTTGTCTCACCAAAGTCCCCATTCATCTATGTCAAAAATGAATCCTGACTAGAAGCTTCTCCTGAAGGAATGCCAAGGGCTGTAGCAACAGATTGTTGCTGCAAAGACAGGGTAGAGCTCGGCTGATAGGACTTTTAATGGTTTACTTGAGCAGAAGTCTTTTTTTAGTAAGTCTAACCAAATGTTGCATGCGCGTCCATACGCAGAATGGCTCTACAAAGTAGGATCCAAAGTTTATGCAGAAATTGCAGGTTTAGACAGAGCCTGTTACATACAGAAAAGATTCTGAGCAGTGCACAGACATCCAGAGCAGCTTCTCTGTCTCCAAATGTTATATAACAAACAGTAAATATTGATTTATTTTGGGACCAGAAACATAGGGACATTTTATTGCACTTACAAATGACACTGAATTAAACCAAGACACATATTGCTACTTAATTAATGGATTTCAAGGTCACCTCATTCCAAAGAAGCCCACATACTTATTACAGTGTCGTGTCTGCATATTGCATTGCTAATCTATATTGCTTTGCTGTGTATTAACACAGTATCATTGGGAAATCATGCAGCAAAATATGAAGACGCTGCTCTGTGATTCCACAGTTTTTGGCAAAAAGGAGCAAGCTGTCTCCTCTCTCACTGACATCTATGCTCAATCATGAAGTTGTAGTGACAGTTTATCTCCTTTTTCTCATTATTTCCCCTCATTTTCTGGCTGCTTGCTCAAACAAAGAAGGTTCCAGGCAGCTCTTAGTCCTCTGTGTAAAAGTAAGCGTTCTTTCCAGTTCTGTGACTAAGGCTTTATTAATCCTGCCTGTCACGGCAGTGAGATAATATCAACTTACAGAAGAAAACCCCAACCCACCCAAAAATGTAGGAATAGTTGGAGAATGATCCCTCATTTGTTTTTTTGAGCTGGTTAATGAGGTCAGGGATTGCAGATGTTGGACAGAGAGACCTGACAACTACCTCACCCAAGAGGTAAGTGAAAAATTGGCTGGTTCAAACTTCTTCATGTTGTGCCACCAGTGTATGCCTGCCCTAAGCTACAGAAACTGCCTCCAAGAAAAAAAACAGACCAGTCCCCACCCTTTCTTGGTACGACAAAACACTTTGTTTTTACCTCATGAAAAAACAGAGCTGACTGAACAGCCTCAGGGTACAACTGTAAAGGCAGAGAAGATCACAGCAGTGTAAGAAAGACACAAGCTACCTCTTCCTTAGCTTCTAGGATCCTCTCTCCACACACCTCAGCTAAGGCAGAGTTTGCAGAGGTGCTGCTGTCCCAGCCAGGAGTGACCACTGCAGGTACCCTGGGCTAAACCAGCTTGTTGAAGCCTGGAGAGCAGTGTAGCATCATCCATTCGCCTGTTCACACCAACAGCGGTGGCTTCTATGTCTTCTGTGTTCCTGGAAGCACGAGCCCAAATCCCTTCTACGTGTAATTACGCTTGTGCTAACATACAGTCCCAGGGATTAAGACATCAATGTAATTGTCATTCAGTGTTGCTAGATGACAAAGTTGCTTTCTTCCCTTGAATAATCCTCAATAAATCTCCACAGTCCTGTATGTTCTCCATCCACCTGACATTCAGTTTCTTGCCTATGGCCTGTTACTGTAATATTGCTGCATCTGGTGCCAGCCTGGACTCTATGAACGATTCATTTTTGCCACTTTGCAGAGCCTAGTTTCATATACATCCAAACTCCAAATCAGTGCTGCTTCCTGATTGCGCTCCAGTTTTTCTATAGTTGCTCTCCCCTGCAGGCTTTGACACGATGGGGTACTTGCCAGTCTGCCTATTACCCCACTTTTCCTCATCAGGTTTTACTCCACAGGACCTGCTGGCCTTCCACTGCATTGAATTCAGCTCCTCTGTTCACATCTTGGCATTTACTTTCACACAAGTATTCTCCTCTGCAGCTTCATCTGCCTCTGGCTCCTTGATGAATTCTGTCGGTGGCTGCCTGATTGCTACTATGCATCTGAATGTTCACCAGCTTTGTATTTAAACTACAGTCCCTGATGCAGTTGGTGAAGGTTTTCTAAGCCTCCTCTTTTAAGGTCGTGTTCTCTCTCTTGTGTAATACTAATTAGCTCATATTATAAGCTACGATATTGCTAGATAATTTTGCAAGACAATATTTGCAACAAGACTTTGAAGAGACTGAATTTTGTGAGAGAATAATCTCCTATTTATTCATACTTTTGATTACTTTGTTGGAAGTTTATCTTTCCATTTGCCATTCCCAGAATTTTATGTGGGTCTCCCCAGCTACTGGTAATACTAATAAACCTCCCAAAGCACACAGTAGGCCTTTCTCCATCACAGCTAGTAGCAGGATTTAGTTTGTTTTCTTTCTTTATTTAGCCCTGGAGCCAGGTTGTACTTTTGCTATCATGATCTAAGAAACAAGCTGCTAAACGTGTCCTTCTTTCCTCGTCATCTGCTCAGGGGACTAAGAATCTAAGACAATGCTCTGATTTTTTTGTTCTCTGCTTTCACACCTTTCAGGAGGTCTGTGGGCCACATCCTTCCTTTCTGATTGCACGTCTCTGCCTGATCCACCTTTCTGTGGCACCAGGCATGCAAATACAGCCACACACAGGCATTACACAGGGAAGGCCCAAACAACACAGCATTTGCATCTTAATCCTTCTTCCACCTCTGCTACTCACCATTGCTAAGCCTCACCTGGGAGGGGAAGTCTCTGACAGCCAGGTTTTTAAGAGTCACATGGGCACCTATTAATAAAAACAGGCACCTTGCTGACTTTTCTCAGGGAGGCATTAAAAGGTACTTCACTGGCAGATTCCCATGGATTTTATTGCAATCTAAGTAATAAGAGTCACTTTTGAGACTGCCGTTTGGTGCCCCTCTGTATCCTTATGAGCCTCTAATGCCTTTAAACATTTGGCCATTGAGTTTCCAGCCGTGACCTGCTGGGTAATCACACTGTAGCACACCTCCCCATTAGGAGGCCGTTTACTCTAATGGTGGCATGCAGTTTTCTGAACTAGACACTGCCAACTCTCATCCCATTTATACTTAGGCCACTAAACGGCCAAATACGACTTCTTCATGCTCCGCTCCAACCCGGTATCCTCCAAGCACCCCTTACTGCTGCTGATGTTTTCAGTTCAACAGCGACAGCTCTTCTTTTCCAAGGGACAGCACTGCCCCAGCTGCCAGGCAGCAGGGAGAAGTGGCTGCAGGAAGGCGTGCTGCAGACCCCCTCCGGATACCTCTGTGCTAATTCCTGCTTCTTTGTGCCCATTAGTAACACAGCAACGTCACCTGTGCTGCAGCTCGTGCTGTGCCGCTTGTTTTTACCACCCACTCCGGTGTAGTAGGTGATTATGTACCCATGGGCTGGATAGTAATATAAAAGGACTGCTTTTTGCCTGTAAATACAACAGTCTCCATATGACCACTGAAATGCAACTCCCCTCGCTGCCCCCAACGCTTAAGCTAATGTCTTACAGAACCTCATAACTCACGAGCCTCATAACTCCTTAAAAATTGTCTGCTTCTTCCTCCCAGTCTGTTGGCTGTTACAAGGAGACTTTATGCGAGGGCCAAGAATGAAGAAAGGCTCTACACAAAGGCATCTTGGGGCTTGGCTAGACTTGGTCTAGTCCTAGTGGCAGTGTGGTTCTCTGGAGAAAAACAGCAGTGGAGCCCAGGGTCTCTGCTCCCAGTCCCCACACAGCATTTCCAACACCATTTTTAGATGCTTAAGCAATTTGCAGCACCAGACACTGTTGAGGTGTCATGCAAAACAACGCCAGACACTGTTGAGGTGTCATGCAAAACAAGAGCTAGAGCCAAAGCTAGCTGACAAAAATGAGCTGTGGAGATGACTGTCCGGCCTGAGAGTCAGTGTTTCCTGGTGAGAACAAACATTCTGGCTTCCTCAGAAGTCACTGCAACATACCTAGGCTCTGATGGATCTCATTCCTCCTCCAGCTGATAAGTATTATTTGCAGGAGAACTACAGGAGCGTCAAAACAAATTGCACTTTAATGTATACGTAATGATATATTTCTATTACAGTTTATAGCATATACTCCTGGGTAAATAATACACTGCTGAGATGTTGTTGCCTCTTGTGTCAGCTCTGACATATATTTAAAAGCAACCAGCTTGGCAAAACATTACTGACAAGTCCACAGGGACCGGAAAATTAAAGGTAATAACCACTCATCTGGGCTGAAACTTCATCTCAAATTCATCCCTTTCTCTCTTCCCATCCACACCTCTATGAAAGCATAAGAATTAGTAGTCTGGACTTCCAGCATACACTATCTTT